TCCTTCTCTCCCTCGCACTACATGTTTCGGCATAATAATGCCATCTTCAGGTGCTTACTTATCCACGTCAAACCAGTTCATTGCATGCCATGTTCACACATTAAAATAACTAAAATATGTATCTATCATATACATTGTCAAACGTTAAAAATATTAAAATTGTTCAGGATACCACATCGCTACGTCGCCCCTCACTACGTCAGTCACGCCCATTCCCCTTTGTTGGAGCACTCCTTCACTATCTTGTGTGTTGTGCTTTTGTTGTGTCGTGCTCCTGCGACAGCGTGTGTTATACTGTTGGGCTTCCTGGGTATGTGTGTGCATTGATGTTGACGGTGGAATTTTCGGAAATGTATTATAATAGGTAAACTGTACCAACTTTGTCACTTGAACAATAAATACCGGTACTAGAAACTACGTAATATATCTTTCTTTTCAATAAATCTGGAACTGTGTAGTGAAAAAGCTCTCTCGGAAACCGTTCGGAATAGGACTCGTGTACAGTCACGAAAAGTGCATTTCTGCACAGTGTTGCATGTCTCTATCAGGACGTACGGTGACAGCAGGAACCTAAATAGCTTTACAGCCTCTACGCCTACAGTAAGATATAAAATGTTCCTGTACAGGCATGAAAAGTGCAGTTGTGCACACCGTTTCAGGTCCCTACCAGACTGTACGGTGACAGCAGGAACCTGAATATCTTTACAGCCCCTCTGCACCTACAGTAAGCTATAAAGTGTTCCTGTACAGACACGAAAAGTGCAGTTCTACACAGTGTTGCAGTGTCTATATTAAGAGAAGTGACCTCACTCTCTTTTAAGACCCTTGGGGCTGCATTGAACCACTTTGTTCCTAAATCATTTTGTCTGAAGATAAATCTTTTGAATGGATGAAGTGTATCAAGAGTGCCAACCCAAAGGCGCAGTGCTTTTTAAATTTAAATTTAAAATTAAAATTTGCCCTTCTATATGTTACATTTTAGCTTTCGTGACCTCAGATGTCCGTGCATACATTAATGCGAACATGGGACGGAATTGAGATCAAGGGCGCTCTTGCTGCATGGCAAACATGGCTTCGGTAGCACAGATATGCATGTGTGTGTGAACTACATCCAGGGTCATAACATAGGCAGATGTAATCAATGAATGAACCTGTTGTATTGGAAAATGTAGCCCTTGTACAGACACCTGCATATTTGTAGATATGAGCGCAAGTAATTGTGGGAGAGAATGAATCATTACATGACATTGATAAGGTCACAGCGTTCTTCTTTCGTTGAAAATGTAGGTGAAGTTTATGTAGAAACTAGTGGGTTTGTGAAGGATCCAAGCAGTGTGATATATTGTCAGATGTTGGTCAAGGTCGGAATGTTAATTGCTAGTATCAGGTGGTCTGGTCTTGTATTGCTGTCACCCCCAAGCCTCCTCTCTCTCTCTCTCTCTCTCTCTCGTTTTTTTTTTTTTTTGCGTTCTTCTCTGTGTTCCTGAGTAAGAAATATTGAGTATATCTTGATCAGTGGGGGAAAAAGCACGATAGATCTTTTCGTTTTTTCTCTTTAGTTGAATCTTTTTCCTGATTTTCTTTAATGTGTTCGATTCTTCTTCTTAAGAACAGTTTTAGTTACTGATTCTTTTCATAATGAAAACTTGTTTGTCAATCCTGTAATGCTCTGAAGCTTCAGGATTGAAACACTGAGGAAGTTGGCCCGAACAGTAATGTGATAGCAGTTTCTTTTCAAAACGTACTCAGTTCAGATCCTGCCCAGGACACAAACTTATCTGGAATGATGTTTTTTTAGTGGTTTTCTATGTTTCCCCAGGGAAATATGGGATAGTACTTTAAATTAGGCCTTGACATTGGCTTTCCACATCCTTTGTAATATATTGTCACGTGTATGAGTGACGAGACGGGGCTTGGATTGGTAATTACATTTATTGAACACCTACACACAACTACAAGTAAATATAACGCTATCGCTAATTCACACACACTCTTCAGTTCATTAGAGCACGCACTAAGCCTTGCCAGTCTGCTGTATCTTCACTGGTTGTCGCCTGGTAACGGATTCCAACTCCGTTGATCCCACAACTTCCGTGTTCACATCCTTACTCGTCGGCGACTGTCTCACAACTAGCGAAACTCTAGACATGTCCTGCTTATAACACCTCGACACGGACGGCATAGAAAACCCCTCTCCCAACATGTTCTATTGTTCGTCACGTAGCTGTCGCACGGACCGCATAGAGGATATCGCTGCCCAGTTAGTCCATTGATGCGTGTTACGAATCTGTTGATGATATTACCTAGCATCGGCTGTTGTTTACAGAATCGTAACTTGGCAGCGAGTCTGCATGCCACGGTATTATTAGTTATCAAAATCATATTGTATTAAATGCTGTAAACTAGTGGCAAAGTTATCCCTGTGCTTAATTAAGCACAACACCATTAAGACGTATAGGGGAGTTGAGGTGTAGCCCCACCAATCTTGACCTTGGCGCTAGATAGAGGTGAGTGGTCAGATTCACGCCCCGGCCGCTTTGTCCCACTGGGAAACTTCCTGTATCCGTTGGATAGGAGACTCGGTGGGCCCCAGAGCCGGTCTGAACGCTGTGGAGAAGAGAAAAATGTGTTGCCCGTGGTGGGAGTCGAACCCCGGCCGTCCAGCCTGTAGCCCATCGCTGTACCGACTGAGCTGTTGCGGCTGCCACTCTTAAATGCTTTACACACAACAGAGCCGGGATAGCGCAGTCGGTATAGTAACCGGCTACTGGCTGGATGGCCGAGGGGTTGGAGTTCGAGTCCCGTTAGGTTTAAGAATTTTCTCTACTCCATGTCATGCATACCGGTCCTGGAGCCCACTCATCTTCCCATCCAATGGATAACGGTTTTTTTCCCTGGGGGTAAAGCGGCTGGGCTGTGAAGCTGACCATTTATCTCCAACTAGTACCTAAGTCAAGAAAATGTGGTTCTCTACATACACTCCCCCAACCCCTTCATGACGTAGTGCTTAATTAGTTAAGCACAAGGACAACTTGGCATTTTTGCACATAACGGATTCCAGAATTAGACGTATATTCATTTTACGTATAACGCAGGTGCGGAGCTGTCCCCCTAGAGACCCGCGTTATATCGAGGATTTGCTGGATTTGTGTTCCAAAGTTTTTTATTATTTACATTTATTCTAAGAGTAATATTATGCATCAGCATCCCGTCGCACAGGTTAGCAATGCAATTTGCAGGGACAGTCTTGAAGGTGCAACTTTTTTCATGCTCATGGGCTGTTGGTGTGCTAAGTTGTCACATTTTATATACATGCTACTTCTGCGACATGTTTCGACCTAATGTGCTCATCATCAGGTCGATACTTATATGTAACTGCTGCACTATATATATATTTTTTCTAGTTCATTGTTCTAAAGCTTTGTTAAACTAGTTCCAGTTATTCTTGAATTCAGGCAGAAGTTATTCACTTATACCAGTGTTCCGCAACCGGTGTGCCGCAGCACACTGGTGTGGCGTCACAAGGTGAAAGGTGTGACGCGAACTTTTACCTATTGTAAGAAATTAATTGTCGAATTTAATTAGTTTTATTTTATCCCAGTTACCGTGTTTCATATGCTTGTATTTTATTCTCAGCCACTGCACTGATTAAATAAGATGGTGCTTGTTTATTCTTTATTACATGCCGTGATTTTTTATGTACAGTAATGTTGTATTCTAAGAAATTTAACGTAAATTATTTACTCACGGTTGTTTTTTATATCATAGTTTTCATTATTGATTTATTTTTATTTTTCTCGCATCTACGCGGCTTCTTTGATGAACTTGCCGCATGTTCTGTGTACGTGATTTTCCCTAAAACTGCAGGGATTAGCAAGGGTTTGCCTGTCTTTTGTAACGCTATTTTGGTTATCACGAGGAAAAGTGTTAACGCGAATATTTGAACTTAATGACGAGGTACGTGCATTTTTGACTGTTGAGGGACATGAGTACGCGGATTTATTTACAGATGATGAATGGGTATGTAAGTTGGCATATCTTTCCGATATTTTCGTACACTTCAGTGAGCTGAACAGAAAAATGCAAGGTAGGAACGAAAATATTCTAATATGGATAAGATACAAGGATTTGTAAATAAGCTGAATTTGTGGATACAGATAATTACAGATGGGTCGTTTGAGATGTTCCCGACTGTATGGTCACTTGCTGACGGCAATAAAGTGGTGACGGACACAATTAAAGAACATTTAGAAATGCTGCAGGAGAAATTCAGTAAGTGTTTGGAGAGAGTGTACAAGATTTCGACTGGGTTCGTGATCCATTCGTTGCGAATTCAGAACATCTTCCGATTAATATACAAGAGGAACTCGCAGATTTAAAAGCAGACAGAACATTGAAACTAAAACTTCTCGAAGTGCCTTTGAAACGTTTTGGTTGACGATAAGGAGTGAATACCCGGCTATCTCCGAGATGGCAGTTAATGTGTTATTGCCATTTTCAACTACATATTTGTGTGAACTGGACTTCTCGACGTTAACTGAAATAAAGACATCAAAGAGGGAGCGGCTCAAATCCATCGATGAAGAAACAAGACTTCCGTTGTCAACGATTCCACCACGAATCAACAACATTTTGAACTAGAATAGGGAACTAGAAAACTCAAGATGATGACAGTGGCCGTGCGGTCTAAGGCATGAACTGTCTTCGCCAGCTCGAACACTGGGATCATGGGTTCGAATATCACTCAATGCATGGATATCTTTCCACGTTTATTCTGTGTTTGTGCAGCGACTTTGCTATGGGCTGACCCCTTGTCCAAGGAGTCCTACTGACTGTGTAAAAATACCAAGAAACTGAAAAAGAGGCAAAGGGCTGTAGAACCATAGGTAGTTAGGTAGGTAAAGCTATCCCTCTAAGAGGCCATGGAGGCCCGTAGGGTTTTGAGAGGTCGAGGCTCCCACGTTTTGTAGACAGTCGGCTCGCAGATGGCGGTAAGTCTGTCAGCCTTACGCACCGGCCGCCCTTTACTCCCAAGGAAGATTCCTGGTACTCATATCTGTTAAAGGCTGAGGCGACCCTAGGGCCATACCGCGGCTGGAATGATTTGGTCAATTGAAAAATCCAATGCCCTCATCGGGACTGGACCCCGCGACCTTCCGTCTTGTAGCATAGTGCCTCAACCAACTACGCTACTGCGTAGATGGATAGAAAAATCAGTTTAATGCTGTAATGTAACATAACATTTTTGAAGACGTGGCAGTCACCGACACTCTACAAGCAAGACGAAAAGTTGCACCTTTAAGATTGCCGCTTCAAACTAAATCGTTTATTCTGACCCTAAAGTTAACCTGTTGCCGACATTTGTGTCACGTAGCCTTTTCTGCTCTCAAGAATCTCTTGTGTACGATCACGAGACGAGCGCCGAACGATAACTTGGTAACGGAAAGATCGCATTGCGCAAGAGCGGAAGTAGATCGAAGGACGATGTTAAAAGGAGATATCGGAGAAAGTTAGCTCAAGCGGCGTAGCTGGGAACTGTTTTCAGGAGATTCCTGGTTCGAATCTCGGACGGGACACCGACTAGCCCAAGGATTTGCATGGTTTTCAACGGTTCTCCAGAAAAGTCTCATGACAATGCCTAAGTTAGGCCACCACTATTTTATTACACAATATTTCAATTCGATATTCACTATTCATCCCACCTTTCGACACTGATAGTTTTCAGTGTTGGAAGCGCCGTTAAATAAATCACGAATAAATAAGATAATGGAGCTGAATCTTTCGCGAGAAGCTAATAGTTTCGTGGCTGCTCTAGATATATCTTTTATTTCGTGGGTTTCAGAGGTCCGTTACCGTGTTCAAAGAGGTGATTTACCTGATGACTACTTAAATGGCCCAAACTTGTTGAAAAGTGAAAACATTTTAAATATATTAAATTTGTATGTCGACGGAACAAAAAGAAAATAGTTCACACACAATATGACGCTAAAATACAATATTAAAAAAGTAAAGTTGTCCTCCTTAGCTCATTAATTAAGCACTACGGCATGAAGGCGTATGGGAGAGTGGATGTCTAGAGCCACAATTTCTTGACCTCGACACTAGTTTTAGGTGAGTGGTCAGCTTCATGACCCTGCCCCTTTACCTCCGGGGAAAGAGCCTCCGGTACCCATTGGATAGGAGGTTGTGGTGAACCCCAGAGCGGGTCTAAATAATGTGGAGAAGAGAAAATTCTTGACCCTACCGGGACTCGAACTCCGACCCCTCGGTTATTCAGCACATAGCCAATTGCTATGCCAACGACACCGTCCCGGCTCTCTGGTATATAATGTTACATACAAATAAATAAAATTAATGGCCGGATGCTCTCAAAGAAGGTTAGTAATGGGTTTGTTTTTTATCGACCGGTCGTTGATTTGCCCGCAACGAGGTCTTAATCGCTTAGATTCTAAAGGGTTCTGACGATGGCGTGTAATACTCGAAATTGCTATTTTTCTTGGACTTTGCCCGTCGTCGGATATTCTAAGTAACACGACATTTCGGAAACTGGATCTGTTTCCGAAGCGTCGTGTTCTCCCTGTCTTTAAGAATAGGGGACTGTGGTCGAGTTGGAAAAGCCAGCAATTTCTCGTGTTAATCTGTTAGGAATTTGGTTGAACGGTTCATTGATTGGTTGTTGGGTCGATTGATTAATTCGTGATAGTGAAAGCGTGGACTAGTGGATGTAGTTGTATCGGCCGGTGGGACGAACAGAGAGGACAGTCAGTAAAGAAATGGAATGACTAACACCCCCCTCCCCCACATGTTACGACCTCTAGTGAAAGGAACCAAACTTCAAGCGGTGTAACATAGAGAACTGAAATGTAATAGTGACATTTGCCTTTCAACATAATCTCCTACTAAAGAGGTCTGTGTTCTGGGTTGTGATGCGTATAGTCAGTTGAAAATCACGGACGTTTCGGAGGCACATGTCTCCTCAATCGTAAGGGTCATATAAGCCAAGAAAGAATTAAGCTGGAAAGTAGATGGCAAGCTCTCTGCTTGCCACCTGTTTTCACTGTGGTTTCCCGCTTCGTCCATGAAGATGGAGGCGACGTGTACCTTAGAAACGTTGGTTGACATCAACACCTCAAATCCTACATAATTTCTTGTTCAGTTCTGTTACTTGAAGCTGTGTAATTTGGCTCGTTACAGCAGAGCCCAGCAGCGGTGTGTTCCTCTGATGGCGTGGCCTCTTCCCCACGGCGGGAGAAGGATAAGAGTTCGAAACGCAAGTCGAACCTCAACCGGTCCCTCACGGCCGAGGAGGTCATCTGTAATGACAGCGCGTTGCTGGGAGGTAAGCCACCTGCCTGCTTGCTGTACATTCTACCAGGTGAAAGGGATTGGTGTGTGCATGTCCTACATGTTGGATGTCATACTGTAACCCTTTAGAGACGAAATTTCTATCAACTAATATATGAAGATTCAGGTCGCACCTCACAGGAAACACATTCCGTCTCCGCTACGAAGCCCAACCGGTTAACTTAGGAGAACAGTCGCTGTTTATTCGGAGAACCATACAAAGTCAAAGTCAGAGTTACTTTACTACTAGCGGTTTACCGCCAATCAGTTTGTCCTTGTCTAACGTCCCTGAGACCCACGACCAGAGACATTTTTTCTTTCAACTGAACCCTTGCTCTCATTGTTATTATGTAACATCCTCTCTGACGAGAAGATGGGTTTGTCTCTTTGAATATACTTGGTCTTCCGTCAAGTGTACGTATCGCCTATACATATAGCATGTTACTGAAAATTCTTCCTTTTGTACTATATACACGTACAAGTCTGTGAGTACCGGTTAGTACAGGCTTTGGAAAACAGGTCATGCATATCTTATGTATCCTATTCTACAGCGGTAGTTTAGTCACTTGAACGGTTGTAAGCTTGAACACATGCAAGTAATATATGAGGATCCAGTTCTTACCTCGCAGGAAACATGACGTCTCCGCTACAAAGCCCAGTAGGTTAACGGTCTTTGGAAAAAACAGTGGTTGTTTATTGTGAGAACTATAAGAGACACACAAACGCACTCTGTGGGCAGAGTGTAGAGGCTAATATGTTAAATCAGGTGGTACGTATATTAACCACTGCGTTAAAGGGTAGGGAGCACCACTTTACTTTGTGTTATATTCGTAGGGTTTGGTGACACTTGTTACGTAGCGCCACTAATTGGCCAATTGTATCAGCCCCGGATGTTACATGAGTCTGGGGCTTTGTGTGGAATGAGAATTGGCAGTGGAAACTGAAGTACGCGGAGAAAACTTGTCCGAGTGCCGCTTTGTCCTCATGACCTGACCTGGTATCGAACGCTGACCGCGTCCGCCTGAGCTATGTCACGACCTTAGGACCACTTTAAGCAAACATGCTTTGTTATTCACTCCAAAAGCATGTCCGTCTGCTCGTTAACTTTCTGAATTATTGTGATTATCATAGACCATACCAGACTAAGCTGAAACAGCGGACATTTTTATTGTGTATGAGTTTAAACAATGTAATCACTAAATTAAAATGTACCATCTCATAAAAGTAAAGCTATACCTGTAACAGGCCGTGAAGGCCTATAGGGTTGTGAGACGTTGAGGGTTCCACATTTTGTACACAGTTGGCACAAAGATGGCGGTGAGGTTGTCAGGTTTCCGCAGCGGCCGCACCTTCACCCCCAGCAGTATTCCTGGTACTAACTTCTGTTAAAAGCTGGGTCGACCCCCAGGACCATAATGAGGCCGGAAGGATTATGTCAATTGAAAAAAATATCAGTGACCTCATCGGGAGTTGTATCCGCGACCTTCCGGCTTGTATCCTAGTGCCTCAACAAACTACGCTATTGCGTGTCCCCTAAATGTACCATCTAGTGCAATAAAAACGAAAGTCGTCCCTGTGCTTAATTTGTTAAGTACTACGTCATGAAGGCAAATGGGGGAGTGCAGGTGTAGTTCCACCATTCTTATCCTTTACACTGGATGATGGTAAGTGGTCAGCTTCACGTCCTTGGTGCTTTACCCTCTGAGAATTAGCCTCTGCTACGAATTGTATAGGAGGCTGGTTGGGCCCCAGAACCGGTCTGGACGCTGAGGAGAATAAAAAAGATTTTGCCCTTGCCCGGAATCGAACCCCAGCGTACAGCCCGTAGCTACCCCGGCCCCTATAATAATAATA